GCCGTGATGTTTTTGACACTGACCCCGAAGGTGGCCCGGGTGCAGGGCTCTGGCAGGCTGTGGAACATCCCCTGTCCATCTGGGTCTAGTCCACCAAGATGGGGCACGCTGTGCCCTGGCTCCCTGTGGTCTGTGTGCGCTCAGCATGGAGACCCACGCCACTGCCATGTCTCCCTTTATCTCTTCTTGGATTTTCCCCATTTCCCATTCCTGTGATCAGAGTCTGAGGAAGAACGACTTTTTATCTAGAAGTAGGGGCAAAGCCCTTTAGTTGGGGTACTGCTAAAGAGGGATTCATCCTTATTTTTTTTTAAATATTTATTTTTTAGTTTTAGGTGGACACAATATTTTTATTTTCTTTTATGGGGTGCTGAGGATCGAACCCAGTGCCTCACGCATGCCAGGTGAGCACACTATCACTTGAGCCACATCCCGAGCGCCCATCCTTATTTTTACAGTCTGGTGGCTGGAAACTGCTCTTGGGCATCTTTCTCTAGATCCCAGAGATGCGTCTGGGACAGTGGTGCCTCCCCCACACCCTGCTGTGTGGCCACAGGCTCCTCTGCTGCCCACGTGGCCTTTCCTTGGCAGGGGCTGCTGCGAGCTGCTAGGCAGCAGCCTCCTGGGGTTGCCCCTTCCCACTCCTCCTTCAGGGTCTTGCTCTCCCCTGGGGTAACTGGCCCTTTAGTCACCTGAGGGAACTGGGCAGTTGTTCTGCAAACTGAATGTTCTCCTGCATCAGGTCCCTGGCCCCCCTGCTGCGGTCTCTTTCCCTCAGCTGCAGGCGTCTCAGGAAGGCAGCTTGGATTTGTGGGTTAAGAGTCCAGTGAGGCCTCCTACCCAATGAGGCCCTCGGGAAGATGCCCAGGGGACCATACCCACGTCTCCAGAAAGGGCGCCTCGCCGCCACGCGTTTCCTGCTGTGTCGAGGGGCTCTGTGCCCCCAGCCTGGGACGCCAGAGGCTGCCCCCCGTCCTCTTAGCTGTTGGTCTTTATGTCTTGCTGTGGCCGTGCAACGCAGGCAGGTGATCAGTGAGCGTAGGAGGTAGAGGTGGGAAAGCACTCTCCTTCCTTTGCCTTATTTCTGTTTTAACTTTTTTTTTGTGTGTGTGTTAATTTGCATACCAAGAAGGGTCCAGCTAGAGAGGACAAATGGTCACTCAGTAGCTCCCTAGTTCAGGAGACAGAAACCAAGCCCCTCTCCCCTGGTGTCCCCCTCCTGTGGTTAACCTGGGAATGCGGGGGTTGCGGGGGCTCACCTTGTGCGCCAGTCCTGGTCCCTGTGTGCTGCTAGTGGAGCCACCTGCTGGAGGAGCAGAGCCCTGCACCAGCTTGCTTCCTGTGGGATGGTGGTGAGCGGGGCTGATGGGCATGGCTGGAGAGACCTCTGGCTGTGCTTCTAATGTGGCTGTTCTGAGCAACAGAGTTCTTTACTGTTCTCTGTTCAACATGCGTCATCAGGACCTCCTCTGTTGAGGACAGGCCAGGGTACAGGGGCTCAGGTACCTTGGGAGTTCTTGCCGCCTGGAATTTGAGTATGGTGTCATGGTGTAGCCTTTGCCATTCTGTTCATCCACAGTGCTGTCGGAGAACACCAACAAGGAGCACTCCTTTCTGGAGCAGAAGACAGAGGCTGCATTAAGCCTGGGTCTTTGAGTGACTCGGTGGGACATGTGTCCGCCTGGCTTGGAGTCGTCTGGCCTCCTGAGGTCTGCGTTGAGTCAAGTGTGGGTGTCTGAGCTTTGCAGACTAACCCGACATAACTGGAGTGGACTGTCGAGATTCGTTGACAGCGGTTTGTGGCGTGTGGAGACTGATTGGAGAGTAATGGAGTGTCAGGGAAAATTAGTGTTCAGATGGGAGGCAGGACCTGCTGCCGGGGGGCCCGGGGTCTCCCTTGTCTCCAGCAGTTAACAGGGGCTGCTCCGGCCAGTGGTCTATTACAGTGTCATGAACCACTGATTTAGTCCCTCTTGCCCCTTCTTGGTGCTGGTGGCCTCCAGCTGCTCAGTGTGACTGTGGAAAAGTGCGTCTCTGGGTCCCTGTGCTCCTCTTCATGTCCAGCTCACTTACCTGAACGGAGTCTGTGCTGGACCAGACACTGACTCTGGCCCTGGGGTTGGAGCCCGGCCTCCACTGCACTCTTTGGGGAGAAGCTGCTGCTAATTGGTGTCATTGGTTTAGCCGGTGTGTCTCTCGGCTCTGCTAGTGACCACTGAACTGACGTCCTACAGGTACTGTATGAAGACACGCTGATGCACAGGTGCAGGGAGAGCCCCTGGCAGGCCACGCAGCTTCAGTGGGCTCACGGCAGCCTGCCACACGGTTCCTCCCTCTCTTTCTTTAATGTAGATGGGGTCACACCCTCTGAGTGGTCAGCCTCTCGCTCTTTTCACTTTAAACCTGTCCTGCTGTCCTCACATGTTGGACTGCCCAGCTGACCTCCTCTGTCCTGCATGGCCATGTGCCAGCTTTTATTTAGGCACCTGTTTTCAGGGGCTCTTGGTGCACTTGCAAGGTGTTGCTCTTCTTGCTCTGTCTTGGGTGTTTCTGCACGTGTCCCTGGGCACACGTGTCCCTGGGCACAGGCAGGCACCTGCTCGTGTGTCCTTGTGCACACACATGTTGCCTTGGGTCCTGTTTGCTTTCCCAGCATACACTGGTGTGCTGGGGGAGTTGGGCTTCTCCGCCAGGCCTGCCGTCTAGCAGGAGGTCTGGGGGGCACTGCCTGAGCACTCGGTGTTCTCTGGGCAGGAAGCAGTAGCTTAACCAATGGCCACTTTGTCAGTGTTAAGATGAAAAGATTTGAAAACGAGTTATTCTGTGGTCTTGGTGTATTCCTCTCAGCCCATTTTTCCTGGGGGGTGTGGATTTGACCCTCTAGCCTGGGGCTTGCAGCAGGTGTCTTTTCCAAAGACTGCCGGACCCTCTTTTAGGCTGTTTTGCTCTCTTGGAAGGTACAATTGCATAATAAGTCACAATATAAAGAACCACCTGAACACCCATAGCGCATCGTGCCTGAATCTGAGACTGGGGGAGGGCACAGGACGCTCGGCGAGCTTCGGTGGAACAGCCTCTCAATACTCAGGTTTTCCTCGCCTGCAGGATGCTCGGAGCATGGCTCTAAGTGCCGGCCTTCTCTTAGCTGAAGATAATGGAACCATTTCCTGCAATTTTTCCTCGTTACCGAAATCAGCCTGCAGAGTTCTCCGAGACCCCATTTTGGGTGGAACAAAGCAGACGTGCTCTGGCAGATGTCCTGTTTCGCTGCAGGCTCTCTTAGCAGGCGGAGGGGGGGGGTCTATTGCAGCAGATGCCCGGGACCCTGTGGAGAGGTGCAGCTGGGGGCTGGTGGGGTCGGCGGCACCCCTCCGCTGCTCCTGGTGAGGGAGCCTTCCTGGGAGCCAGGCTCGGGCTGGTCTGCCTGCTCCCTCAGAAGCAGGGGAATGCACTCGGGAGCTGCAGGCTCTCCTGACAAGACTGTTTGAGGGCTCCTGGGAACCCCATTTAACTGGCTTGTCAGAGGACAGGGCCCCTGAGCGGGCACTGCCTCAGCGGGCTGGGTGGTCAGGTCACTTGGGCTGCAGCGCTCCCTCTGGCCATCCCCTCCAGCAGGGCCTCAGCCTGCAGTGAGCCGGCCACCTCCCAAGAGACTGTGGAAGCCCAGGTGGGGCCAGCAGCTCGAGGGCCAGTGGGCCTGGTGGTGCTCCTTTGGGTGCTGTTCTTGTGTTTGGTCCTTCTGGACACAGTCTCTGTGTTCTGCTGTGGTCCAGACTGGGACAGGAAGTTGCTGGCCATTTCTGTGTGGATGGCATCTGCACCGTGAACATGTGCCCGCCCCAAGCTGCGTGCCCTCGAGGACAGGATCCAGGAACGTCTGAAAGAGCCATTTGCCTGACCTTTCATGGCACATGTAGGCCCTGTGGGAACCTGGGGAGCAAAGGCCGCAGGGGGGGGGAGGGGAGCCAGGGGCGTGCCTGGTGGCCACATGTGGCTGGCAAGACCCTGGGGAGAGGACCTGATTTCTCAGGAGTTTTGGGTGATTCTGGAAGCTCAGGGGGTGGGCAGAGTCTGTCCCCATGAAGATGAATGCAGTGAGCTGGCAGGGCACAGCCTGAAGACAACTGTCCCTTGAGGGCTAGCAGCAGGGCCTTACTGTAGGCCAATGCCCAAGGCTCACATCCTGTGCTGGCTACAACCTGGCCTTCGGGGCCGGGGCACAGAGGTGCCTTGTTAGGCTGGGCTCCACTGTCAACGGAAGGTGGTGACCACAGTGGGGGAAGGCAGAGGCGGGCGTGAAGTGAGCATACGAGGGTTAGTGGCCGTGGGTGGGTTTGCCTGGAAGCACCCCTGCTGTGGCAGGCGGCAGGCTCCGGGGGCTCTGCGGGAGGCCGCTCGCTGTGCAGGTGGCCCCAGGCACTCGGGCAGCAGCCTTGGCCTCTCCAATGTCAAAGATGTTGTCCGCCGTCTGCTCCAGGAGTATGGTGTGAATAGCCGGCCTCCACCCTCCTTGGCAGGCCTTGGGAAGCCCAGCTTGCTGCTCCCTGGAGTAAACAGGACTCAGGGACCAGAAAGTATCCAGTGGGTACTAACGGGGCCACCATCTGGGCTGTCGTCTCTGTGGGTTGGACCAGGGAGCCGGGAGCCCTACTCTCCCAAGACAGCAACGTGTGCGAACCTCGAACACTGATGGGGAGCAGAGCAGATGTGTTAAGAGATCTCAAGTGTCCAAGAACTGTCCTGTGTCACTGGGCCACACTTAGAGTGCACAGCTCAGGAGGAAGGAGGTAGGCAGAGCGTGTGAGGCAGAGCACGGCAGGCTCGCTCCAGTCTGATCTCCAGCTGAGCCTCGTGGAGCGTCTGCCACCTTCTGTGCAAACTGCTGAGCTTTGGGACGGCACTGGAGCTGTTGCTGGCTCTAGTGTCGACAGAGTGGAGAGAGGTGTCAAGATCGGCTGCACTGAACCCCTGAGGCTGACGGCTCCTGTGCTTCTTCCCAGGTGTGCCTGTGCCAGTACCCCAGGGTCTTGCGGCCACCCAGGACTCGCCTGTGGGACCAGGGGTAAGTCCAGGCCTGACGGGATCCACTTCAGAATTCCAGAATAAGCCCCAGTGGACCCCTGAAAGCACTCTTTGCCTCCTTCTCATCCCTGAGGTGGGGCCCGCTGGCTGGGGGCGTCTGGTGCCTTCCCAACTTGTCACGTAGCCTGATCCTGACACGCTGACTCAGCGTGGGGCTCTCGGGGTGGTGGCTTCCTGTTGCCATCAGAGGTCTCTGTGGTGTCTCCAGGACATGCTATGCTCTCCTGGCAGTCATGTCTGCTGGTGGAGATGCCCTTAGTACTGAGGGCCTTTTGTTTTTTTCAGAGACACTGAGGTATAGTCTTCACCCTTCCCTGACCTATTCGGCCAGGAGAGAGGGCCAAGGCCACATGCGGGTGCACTCAGGGCCGCAGGTGTGTCAGCACGCACCTGTGTGGGCCGGTGTGCAGAGGAGGGCTCTTCCAGGCTTGGCCTTGATGCTCGGTGGCTGATACGGCTGTGGTGTACTGAGCTGCAGGGTGCTCCCCGTGGCCCTGGGTAGCTCTAGCGGCATGATTTTGACTGAGGTCAGAGTTGGCTTGTTCTTCCTGGTGACTTTGTCTGCTAATGCTGCATGGAAGTTGACTTCTAGAAAAGTCAAGTGATTCGGTGACCCAGGCTGTCTGCAGGAAGTGGCTCTAGTGTGGGGCACACAGCTTGGGAGCTGGGCCCCAGGGGAGCATCTGTGTGCTGGAGATGCCCGGCTGTGGACTGCCTCCTGGTCCCCCGCTGGCTTAATCTGGCATGTTCCCTGCAGCGGTTTCCACGTCGCCCTGAGTGTTCAGGGCCACAGGCAGGGAGGGCTTACAGTGCCCCCTGGTCTCGGGGGCTTAGCAGAACGAGTGGTCTTGCTGGCTTCCTGCAGATGCTGCCAGGATGCCCTGCCATCCTGCTCACCTCCCTGCTCCAGCTCTTCTCTCACTGACTTCTCTGTGTTGGCACCTCCTTTGGGCCTCTGTGCCAGCTGTCCCCACTGAAAGTGAGCATCCCACAGCAGCGTGTGCTGGAAATAGCATCTCCAGTAGAGTGCAGGCCCCCCCCCCCCCGCCTTTTTTCCAGGCATTCATTTTCCAAATATAAACATAAACCTTTCTAGAGGCCTGCCATGTGCCAGGCCCCACGCCAGGCCCTTGCCATGGATTCTCATTCATTCTCACAGGAGTCCTGCAGGTCAGGTGCCATGATCATCTTTTTTTTTACAAGTAAGGGTACTGAGGCAAAGAGGCTGGCTGACCTTCACAAGGTCACATGATAAAGAGGTGGTGGGATAATCTGTCTCCAGAGCCCATGGAGGCTGCCTGTATAGTCACTGTCTTGGTGGGAGGCTCACAGGACAGGGACATAGGTAACTGGATCAGACGGGAGCTTGGAAGTATCCAGTCCAGGGGTAGAAGTGAAGCCCAAGGGTCTAGCCCAGTCCACCCTGGAGTGGAGACTCTTGCCCTTGTCTGCTTGCTTCTCCTCACTGATGTGTTTTCATTCAGATCGTGGTCTGTGTGCTGAGGGGAGTTTAGGAGAGGCTCTAGGTTGCACACAGCTGCTGACCAGGAGGCTGTGGAGTTGCTCTCTTCTGCAGCTGGCTCTGAGTGTCCTCTGTTCCCCTGGATTTGTGTCGTGTGTGTGCGCATGCCTGTGTGTGAGTGTAGGGGGTTTCATTAGCTGATTTGAGTTCTCTTGCCTTCCAGTTGTCACTTTCCCAGCTGGTGACTTCCCCGCAGTCCCCGGCTCGGTGCCGCTCAGCCAAAGCCACTCCACGGTCACCAGAGGGCTCCCAGCCCCAGGCAGTAAGTGCCCCCATGCTGCCTCCTGCCTCACATTCCCCCGACTGCTGGCAGGCCTTGGGATTTTGAGCTGTGCTGGTCCTTGGTGAGGTGACAAGGACCTCAGTAGACTCTGAGACGTGGGCTGTGGGATGGGTGGGGTGGGCCACTGTGTCCCTCTGTGCTTCCATGGAGAAGCACGTTCTGTCCTGGAGAATGGGGAAAGATGTGGTTCTCGCCACGGTGGGTGATTGACTCAGGCTTGGTTTCCCTGAGCCAGCGGAGCTCAGCTGCTGGCGGGTCTGTTGGTGAAAGGAGAAGGAAGGTGGCAGAGGGTGGAGGAGGAGGCTGAGCTGGGCCTTCCTGGCCGCTAGGGGAGGGTTCAGGTGGAGCCGAAATAGCCTCTGCTGCCCCTGACTGTGAGGATCCCTGCAGAGCTGGTCCTGCGGACTGCACCTCTGGTCTCACGCTGGTAGCACGGAGGAAAACGGTCCCTTCCGGTCATGCATTAGCAGGCACTCCTGATGTGAGCATCCGTGCCACCCTGCACTGAAGCACGCCTGCAGCTCCCCATTTGTGAAGCGCTTGCTGTCTTTTATTTTTGCCTGAGACATCATGTGAGAGCTGTCCCTGCTCAGCAGAAGCTGCGAGTGTGGTCCAGTGGAGAGGGGCTTGGAGTCCCGCCGTCCCCTCCACCCAGATAACCTGCCTCAGAGGGAATAACTAGAAGATTCAGGACTGGCAGGGGCCAGCGCAGCATCCAGACGCACGGGCCAGCTCTGAGATTTGACGTTAACATTCCACCTCAGACATCAGATGTCCCCAGTGGTATTGGCTTGTTCATAAACTTGGTGGTTCCTTTCTTGCTGTTTCTTTCTTTTTTTTTTAATATCTTTATTTTATTTTTATGTGGTGCTGAGGATCGAACCCAGTGCCTCTCACACATGCTAGGTGAGCGCTCTACCGCTTGAGCCATAACCCCAGCCCCTCTTGCTGTTTCTTGACTTACAGATAATCATGAGAAATAAAGGAGTCACGGTTAAGATTTTGGAAGCAAAACAAATAATGTGTTAGCATAAGCATATCCCAAGTATTAGATGGAACATACTTATACTAAAGTCATTCATTGTTCACCTGCAGTTACAATATAACTGAGCCTCCTGTGCTTGTGGTGGTGAAGGCTGACAGCCCTACAGAGGCAGTAGTCATCAGCCCCCTTAGAGCTGAGCATCCTTGGTGGCTGCAGGTTGGGGTCCCGTGGCCTCACCTGGAATCCCATTTTGTTTAGCAGGAGTTTCCTTTGGAGGGCGGGGTCTCTCATCTGGAAGCCGACCTTAGTCAGACTCCCTTGGTCCTGGAAACCCCTGTTGCTGAACCTTTGCAGGAGCTGCCCTTCACCCCTCTGCATGCCCCCATTGTCGTGGGACCCCAGCAAAGGAGGTAAGGTGGGCACCAGGAGGGGTGGGGCCAGGCAAGTGCCCTCTGTCACACCTGCCTTTGATTAGCAGCTCTCTGAGAAGGAGAAGAGCATCTCCGCCCCTCTCCCGTGGGCTGGCTGAGGACTGTGTCTGTTTCAGTTCTGGCAGCCAGCTCTCCAGAGCCACCATGGTTCTCCTGCAGTCCTCCGGCTTTCCTGAGATTCTGGATGCCAGCAAGCGGCCTGCCGAAGCTGTCAGTCCCACGGATCCCGTGCACTTCGACTCTCAAAGGGAAGAAGCGGATTGTCTACAGAGCAATGAAATAGTGCTGCAGTTTCTTGCCTTCAGCAGGTAGCGGCTGAGTTTCCAGTCTGCCACGCCCCTGCTTCCTTGTGCTGAAGAGTAGCTGTGACGTGGCTCTGACCTGGCAGATGCTGTGTTCAGGACTTGTTGGACCTAGCAGCACTGTTTTTCAAATTAATTGATTAATTTGTTCTTCGTTAAAAAAAAATAATTAGCACATACTTGTGTGTGTTATGGGGTGCAGTGTGATGATGGGATATATGTATACTATGTGTAACGATCAAATCAGGTAATTAGCATTCCCGTCTCCTTTTTTTGTGCTGGGAACCTTTGAACTGCCATCTGATTCTACTTTACTTTGGCTAGGACCCACCCAGAACCATTCTGAGTGCCAGGGAGCCCTGCTTTGCCCAGGCTTCTCTCCTTAATTAAAATGTGCATGACGTTTGCCTGATTCCCAGACGTCAGGGTAGCTCTGGGGCAGCACCCTCAGGCCAGGAGACTCACTGTGCCTGACGTGGCTGCGGCCCTCCTGAGGCCACAGTGAAGCTGTTTTAGTGACTGTGTCCCTGGGCAAGCGTACATCCCACCCAGGCGCTCTGCTGTGGCTGCCTGATTAATCAGAGCTGTTGTTGGGTGCAGAGTGGCCCAGGATCACCGAGGAGCTCCGTGGCCAAAGTCCGTGTACTTCACGTTCCAGTTCTACCGCCTCCCACCTGCCACGACGCCACGGCTGCAGCTGGTGGAGCTGGCTGGGATGGGGAAGACGGGCTCCGGCTCCCTGTCTCACGTCCTTGTTCCCATTAGTAAAGACGGCTCCTTTGACACTGGTAAGTGCTTGTGCAGTGCGACTGCTGAGGCCTGCACCGAGTTTCCTGTGTGCATGTCATCATTAAACAGCCCATGCACGGCCAGTGCACCCACACCCATCAACTGCACCCACCCTGGGCCTCCCCCACCCAGTCATTGTAAGTCATTTGTAAATATTTCCTATGTTCCTCCATAAAACAATGGAGTCTTTTGAAAACTTATGCTGTCATAGTAAAAAATAATTCCTTAATATCATGAAATATCTAGCTAATGTTAAGAATTCCTCAATAATTTCATAACTTTTAAAATATTAGTTCAAAACTCCTGTCTATGTGTTGCAACGGGTGCACCTGTGTGCTGCCCTGGGGATTGTGTCTGTGGGGCTGCCACCATCCCGTCTCTCTCTTTCCTTTCTCTGTGGAAGAGGTGTTCTGCAGAGCATCCATCCCCCAGTCTGGACTTTGTTGAGGCTCTGAAGTTAAGGCTGTCTCTCTGTCCCCTCTTTTCCTGAGTCAGGGATCCATGTGTGATTGGGTGCATGGTTTTGTTTTTGTCAAGGATTCTTTGTAGTGGGTGACTTGGACTCTGTCTCTGCAGCACTGTGACACCCGGCTGCTTCTTCCTCTGGTACAGCAGCAGCCATCACGACTGTCGCATGCTATCAGTCATTGCTGGAGGGTGCACAAGGACACATCCTGCTTTGGAACACCTTTGTGTGCCGGCTGGGTGCTTCCTGTCAGCCTTCGTCACTGTGACACCTACCCAAGAAGAACAGCTGAGAAGTGGGAAGGTTTATTTTGGCTCACAGTTTCAGGGATTTCTGAGCATGGCTGGCTGCTCCCTTGCTTTGGGCCTGAGGTGAGGCAAAAGTTCATGGCAGAAGAGGGTGGCAGGGAAGAGCTGCTCGCCTCTTGGAAGCCAGGAAGCAGGGAGAGAAACAGGAAGGGGCTGGGGACGAGAGGTGCCCTTTAAGAGCATGCCCACCATGATCTTCCTCCAGCTAGGCCCCACAGCCTGCGACTCCGGGGAGTGGGTTCAGTCATGACCATGAATGCACTGTCCACTGATGTGGTCAGATCGTGACCACTCCCTTCTCCAGATCCCCACCTCTGAAGGTTGCTGCACTGGGGACCAAGCCTTCAACACAGGACATTCCGGATCCCAACTGTAGTGCTTCTGTGACTCAGGCTTCCCCCATCGGCTGGTCACCTTGAGGTGTAGTGTGCACAGGAAAGGCAGGATATAATAATGGCATGTTCCCTTGTGTCCTCCAAGGGAGGACACCAGTGGCTTTTTCCCTTCTGCTTTTGTTTTGGGTGAGTGGATTCAAACCACAGGGATGGAACGTGCCTGACGTGTTGTGTATTGATGGTTGGCTGTCCCATCTTTGGTTGGTGACATGGCTCTTAAGGGACCAAGCTGGGCTCTGACCACCACTGCATCTTGCGGTGGGCAGTAGAAGGTGGGAAGTCATGCTCAGAGTCTGGCACCACAGGATGTAGCTTAATGACATGAGCATTGACGGGAGATGAAGGGCGAATGCAGGTCCAGGGTCCAGGAGGCTGCTGGGCAGTAACCAGGCAGGCAGTGTACGAGGACAGCGGCTCCATCCCTGAGCTGCTCACACAGCTCCAGGAAAGGCAGATGGATGGCTGTGTGTGCAGGGGCCGACAAACCCACAATCGTAGTGATTTGGCCCAGCTCTCAGTAAACTGATGGATCAGTGGAAGCACAGTCACGGGTGTGCTCCAGAATGTGGTTTGGAAGACGATCCGAGAGAGCGTGCGTATCCTGTTCAGGGGGTGGGTACTATCTGAAGCACTGATATATATGGTTTAGGCCACCAAGCAGGTATCACCCTACCCCAAGAGAATCACTGTCAAATCTCATTTTATAGCATCTTCTGACCATAGTGCCCCAAGGTCAGGACCCCCCTCCCCCCGCAATAGTCTGAACTACTAACTCTAAAGTTTAGAATTTTTCTTTTTAAACACGCTTCTTATGGTGAGTCAACGAAGAAATCAGAGTAGAAGTGACTACATGAAAAGCTGATATTGTGAGATGCAAGTGGCCCTTGCTGGAAAGGCACAATTCTGGAAGCCTGTGCTGGGGAGAGTAAGAGACAGTGCTAATGTTCAACTCTGGGAGTTTGGGGGAGGAAAACAAAGTCAGTACGAGTAGAAGGAAATAAGTTTGGAAATGAGGTAAATAGGAAACAAGCAGGAGGAGGTCGGCCAGACGGTTGGCATGGTGCAGGGGGCGGGGGTCGGCGGGGCAGCAGGTGTGCGGGATGGGGGAGACCACGTCACGCTGTTCTCTATATGGTGTTCATAAAGTGGCTGTGGGAACATGAGAGCCCCCTGCCCCTGCTGGGGCCCGTCCCTGAGCTGGACCGACTCTGATGCTGGTGGAGGTTCACATCTTGCCTGTCAGGGCCTCTGACTCCAGTCTGCTGCTGACCTGAAGATAGGAGGCAGGGGAGGGCCGAGCAACCCAGGCCCCATCCCTCACCAGAGAACCCCCCTCATCCCAGGTGGATGAGCTCTTCCTGTCCGGAACCTGGGCTGGGCTGAGAGAGGGCCCGGGAGGCCCCTGCGTGGAGGCATGGGGTCAGGGGAGGGAGGCTCTCTGGTAACACTTCCTCCCACATTTGGTTCTCAGATCACTGTCCTTAACCGATGAGTTTATAGTCATGTCTCTGGTTGGATGTTATCCTGGGGGAGAGACCAGTCACCACCAGGGCGGTTCCAACCCTCCAGGGATCACCTCTCCCAAATCGTCCGCCTTTGCTGGTTGAGCTCAGTGACCTGTGGCGCATGGCGCAGCTTGTGTCCTCAGAAGGCTGGAAACAGCTCAGAACCGTGTGTTGGTTTCAGGGCTCCTCGGCCTGCTGCTGAAGCCTCGTCCCTGGTCCATTCCCCTCCAGATCTGTCCCACCTTTCAATCCTGCAGCTTATCAGAGGCCCTGCAGTGAGGGCAAATGGCAGCGTTGAGATCGCCAATAAAAAGACCAGCCACTCAGAGATGCTCCCGATTTGAATGCATTTCCACTCTGAATTTCCCAGATAATAATTAAAGTCCCCAGATTAAATGTCTTTGCAAGTTTATGTCTAAAGAAATTCAAGTCCAAAATCAAATTTTCTTGTCATTACGAACTAAAATTCAAAGTGCAGGGCTAGGGTTGTGACTCAGTGGCAGAGCGCTTGCCTCGCATGTGTGAGGCACTGGGTTCGATCCTCAGCACCACATATAAATAAAATAAACAAAGTAAATTTTTAGTTATACATTGTGCCCATGTATAACTAAAAAAAATATTTTATAAAAGTGTAAAATTCTTAAGTTGAAGTCCATAGTTGAATCTCAGCCACAGGTGGCTTCTGCCTGCACAGGTCTGGGGCAGTTACGTGCAGAGGGCCCCTACCCCTAGCTGACTGGTTGGGGTTGGGGCTTTCATGGTCACTCTCAAGCCAGTTCCTGCTGTTGAAATACAACATGGGCACAGAGAAGCTTGCAGGGCTCCAGTCCCACGAGGTAAAACAAAGGGACGAGCTGGTCGTGGTGACACATGCCTGTAATTCCCACTGCCGGGGAGGCTGAGTGAGGAGGATCACAGGTCCAAGGCTATCCTTGGCAACTCAGACCTTGTCTCAAAATGAAATATGAAGGGCTGGGGATGTTGCTGAGTGGTTAAGTACCTCTGGTTCAATCTCCAGTACCAGAAGGGGGGCGGAAAAAAAGAAATGGGAGGGTTTTATTTGCAGAGCAGTCTTGGGTTTAATAGAGGTGAGTAGGCGGTGCAGAGGCCCCTTCACCCCCAGCCCCTGCTTCCTGCTTCCTTGCTTTAAGGTCGCCACGTTGGCGTGCCACGCTTGTGGAACTCAGGTGGATTAATTATTGTTTTTTGAAGCTCATGGTCAATGTTAAGGCACCCTGTGCATCATATGGTCTGAATTTTGGTGAGTGCAGAATGATTGCACTGCCCTCATGTCCCCTGTTTGTGGCTCTCTGTCCCTTCCCACTAGTCTTTGTCCGTCTCTAAGGTTCTGCCCTTTCCAGTATCTCCTGCAGCTGGCTTCGGGCTGGATGGAGCCTTTTCAGGCTGGCCTCTGACTCGGCAGTGGGCACTCCCAGTTCCTCTGCACTCTGTGTGTTGATAGCTTTTTTTCCCTTCTTGTTGGAAGTACTCCATCTTGTGGATACGCCAGTTCTTTTATTCACTCACCTGCTGAAGGGCATCTTGGTTGCCTCCAGGTTTTGGCAATGGTGAACCAAGTTGTTATACTAGGATTGTGAGTGGAGTAAACCTTTAGCTCACTGGGTGAGTGCCAAAGTGTGTGCTGTGGGGCTGTGTATGGTAGCGTGTGTTCATCTGATAAGAAGAGCTTGCCACTTTGCATTCCCACCAGCGACAGTTCCACATCCTGTCTGCATTTGGGTTGGCAGTGTTTGGGGCTGAGCCATTCCAGCAGGTGTGTGGTGTTTCTCGTTTGATTTGCAGTTCCCTAGTGACATGGTGTTGAACGTCTCTCCGTGAGCTTATTTGCCACCTTTATATCTTCTTCCATGAGGCATCTGTTCTGACATCTGAACAGGTGTATCTTTGCTTTGGACGCAGTCTCCTGTTTGATATGTGTCTGGAGATATTCTCCCCTGTCTGTGGCTGGCTCTTTTCAGCTCTTACTGGTGTGCTTTGCAGAGCACAAGTTTTTAATTTGGATGTAGTACAGCCCACCAGTCCTTTCTTTCGTGGATTGTGCTCGGTGTTGTGTAAAATGTCACTTCCAAGCCTGGCCGAGGTCACCTGATTTGGTCCCACCTTGTCTCCTAGTTTTGCAGCTCTGTGCTCTACCCTTTCTGGGTTTATCTCTACAGAAGTGTGGTCCTTACAAAGCGATCATGTCAGTGCAGGGTCTGGCTATTACGCAGAAGCCCCTTGTCCATCCCCACACCTGACCCTAAACCTCCCCCAGGAAATGCTCTCCTTACTACTGTTTCTGTCCAAAGCATTATCCCTTTTGCA